GGGTGGGGTTGGGGTAGGGATGCTGGAAGGAATTGGTGGAGAATAGGATGAGAAAGGTTGAAAAAGAGTTGTGAAAAATATTTTTTATCCTTTTGGTAGGGAAGTCATTTTCCTCCAAATAAATTCATAAGAAAAGTAACAATCAACAACATAACAAGTATTATCCCACATCGTGGGGTTTGGGGAGGGTAGTGTGTACGCAGACCTTGCCCCTACCTTTGTGAAGGTAGAGAGGCCGTTTCCAATAGACCTTCGGCTCAGGAAAACATAAGCACCACATTAATTAAAAGATAGACAAGGAGGGATAACACCAAAAAGCCATGTAAAAGTAGCATAGAAATAACATGATAATAAGATGATCAAAATGAAAGAAAACAACGAGTAGTCAAAGAAACCTACTACCAACAGAATGCGAGCGTGCGTACTAATACTACCGGTATGAACAATCCAGGCCACCTACCCTAATACCCTAATCCTTGACCTCCACATGTTCCTATCAAGGGTCATGTCCTCAGTTAGTTGAAGCTACGCCATGTCTTGCTTAATCACCTCTCCCCACTTCTTCTTCGGCCTACCTCTACCTTTGTCAACATCTCATACCTCCTCACCGGGCATATGTGCTCCTCCTCCTCCCATGTCCAAAACACCTAAGTCTCGTTTCCCGCATCTTATCCTCAATAGGGGCTGCACCCACATTGTCGTGAATAACCTCATTCCTAATCCTATCTAACCTGGTATGCCCACACATCTATTTTAACATCCATCTCTGTTACCTTTATCTTTTGGATATGGGCGATCTTCACATGCCAACACGCAGCTCCATACAATATAATCGGTCTGACCATCATTCTCTAGAAATTTATAAGAAAAATATTTTTTAAAATATTTAATCCAACAAAATATGAAAGTTTAAAAAGATATTTTTCATTAGACCAACTCACTCTTACATAACACTGTTTCCATAATCTCAATAGAGTAGGAAAAAGAAGAACAGAAAAGAAAAGAGCACATATCACACATGGGGCCATGGTAACGCCGCATTTTAGCGGGAAGCAGCTCAATATATTACACTCTCGCCATGGGCGCCATTTCATTTTGCAAATACAAATCCGTGACATTTCAAAAACCTTGGCGATCTGATAACACACACTCTCTCCCCCAAAATCTCACCGTAATCAGGACATGCGAACTCGATTTCTCTGCACAGATTACTTCAATTCCACTCCAATTTCAGCTCGCGATTTCCTCCGCCTCCCCCTTTCGCCTCTCCTCACTGATCCGAACACCTCCAAATTCGAAGACCTTAATTTTTCTGACGGAGTTTCTACTCTCAGTATCGATGTCGAAATCGAGAAATTTCCGATCGAGGCAGCTCTCTCCAGCTTCTTCGCCGATGTCCTTCCGCACAACATCGATATTGAACTCTCCGAGTTCGCAGATCCTCAACCTTTCGCTAGTTGCAGTTCCGAGGTGCAAACAAGCGAAACTACGAACTCAGAGGTAAGTGCTGAGCATAATTCGAACTCGTTTAGGGTTTAAATATTACTACATACGTTACAATTTATGTGACGTGTTTGACTCGGAGTTTAAGAAGAAGAAAAAAAAGAAAAGAAAACTCTGAAACTTGTGGTATAAAATGAGTCATAAATATTTGTGTGGCTATAAATTATCTCATTAAAGGTAAAATGAGCATTTTAAAGTAAAAACTGCTACTAAATATAAGAAGATGTCATTCTGTTTGGCACTGACTAAAAAGAAAAGAATGTCACATAAATGGAGGAGTACTATTCGTTACTTCATCATGAAATTTCCACCTATCTGATACATCTGGTAATGGTTCCCGTGTAACATTTTAATTGGAAGTGTTGTGTGAATTAAAATGCATGCTTATGTTAATTGATGATCTCTCCAATTTGCATCGAGTTATCTGTCAATATAAGCTTCCCTTGAGATTTGTTCAAGGATTTGTCACTTCCAAAGGGAGCTTCAGTGCACTGGACTTGTCACTTTTAGTTTGACAAAAATTCTACAAGATACTGCATATTAGCACATTTTGATGTGATTATATTAAATTTTAAAAGATGTTTCTTCTTCATTTATTGTAATTTAGAAAATTTCTAATGGAGAGTTTATGGTGCAGATGTGATGATAATAAGAGAATTATTTTCGTGTTGCGTGTTTTGGAACTAAGATTCCCCATTTGGAACTCATATTCATCAGTACAACCTTCCAATTTTGTTAAACATACAACCAAAGATTAAGGTATCCTATTAAATCTTTAGAGATTTGAGATTCCTGGTAGACTTTCTAGTGATGGCTCCATGTGCTTCACTGATACAGTAATACCTGAGTTTGTATTGTGATACTGGTAACTATTTGCTATTTATAAGGTAGTGTTATGTTAAAGTCTAATACATAAAAAAGTACATGTGCTGCACATGTCTTTAAGAATATTAATGAGGCTTAGGCAACGAAAAGAAATTTAATCTCAAGTGAGAAAGAATACAAGTTGGTTTCAAGAAACAACTCCAGTCTTCACCTTATCTCAACATTACGTCTGGCTTAGGCTGCTCATTTTCTTTTTTGTTGCAGGGGACTATTGTTTCCTACAGCAAGGGGAAGGAAAATCTTGAAATGGTCCAACTTGAAATTCGGGTGCTGGATACATCCTGGCTTCCATTGGTAAACCATCATGGCAATCAAGCAGATACGATTTATATACTACTAGCTAAATTCTTATGTGGAATTTCTGGATTTATTTGTTTTCCTGTTGTCAGCTTGAAGACATCCCTTATTTTGGAAAGGAGAATATGTCGATTCCCTCTCATTCGGATGGTGAAGATAAGCTGGTAATATTTTGATGAATTACATATCTCTTTAGGCATTCAAGTTTCTATGACCGCAGTGAAGTGCTTTGGTTTATCTTGCTACCTTTTACAATGACAGTGAACTACCTAGGATAGGAATTCTATGACCGCAGTGAAGTGCTTTGGTTTATCTTGCTACCTTTTACAATGACAGTGAACTACCTAGGATAGGAATTCTATGACCGCAGTGAAGTGCTTTGGTTTATCTTGCTACCTTTTACAATGACAGTGAACTACCTAGGATAGGAATTCTATGACCGCAGTGAAGTGTGTTTGGTTTGTCTTGCCACCTTTTACGATGACAGTGCATTACCTAAGATAGGAATTACCAACTCCCTCCTTCTGTTAAGAAGAAGCCTTTTGTCAAAAATGAAAAATGGGTCGTTCATATTGATAGAAGAAGCTTAGCGATTTTCGATATGATATAACTTTGTAGTTACATGTCTTCTATATGTTTGTGCAGCTGGGGACTATGATTCTGAAGACAATGTCCTCTAGCACTTTTCCTCAATCATCATTTGTGAAACTGGATTACTATCTTTCTTCTTTTGTATTTTCTGATGCTCTTAACTTGACTACTGAAATCTAAGAATCACCTAATAAGGTTCTTAAATACAATTTGCTGGGATATTGTCCCAAACCGAGCTTACACAGTTATGCGACCGAGACCTTTCACTTCTCAATCTGCGCCGTCCTTCAGTTTCAAACATCTTTTCTTTATATATTGAGCTAAAGTATAGTGATGCTCAAAGACACAGTGACCTCTTATGAAGTAATGAAGTTTGTTCATTGTAGAGGACATGAAGAAATTGTACTCCATGCCATCATGGTAATTTACTTCTCTGAGACTGCGTAGACAGAAGGGAAAGACCTAACCAAATAAAGCGCTACTTTCACTTTTTAAGTGCTCCACTTACTGGTTTGGCACATCATTGTTCACTTTTTGCAGGATATGCCCGGTCTTGAAGTTTGGCTGCCAGATTCCCCTGAGATCCTGCAATCAATTTGTTCAGTGGATGACATCTCTTCTGTGGCTTTACTGGAGAAAAGTGCTGATTTGATGGAAGATGGTGCTTTCTGTCAGGGGCAATATCATTCTAGTACATCTGTCTTTCCTCATCTTGAAGTGGATGAGGCAGGTTTGGTTATTGTCAGTGACAAATCTGTAAAGGAGAAAGTTGCAAGTATTGAAAATATTGAGCTTCACTGTGAGACGCCAGGAAGTGAAGGAATGGGTAGAAGCAATGAACTTTTGGGTTCCATAAAGTTTGACACAATGCAATACCTATCAGATGGTAGTTTCGCAATGGGCTGTTGTGAAGTTGAGGTTCCGTGCTTGAATTTCTCTGCGGAGATGGATTTGATAAGTATTATTGAACTTGAGAAAAACTTGGTGATCCATGAAAGCATAGAAAATGATGGTCTAATATGGGTAGCAAGCCCAATCATTTTTGATGAATTGCAGTTCTTTGATTCAGACCTTTTTTCTTTTCATGAATTCCAGTCTGAAGCAAAAGTAGATATTGATAAAGATACATGTGACCTGATGTTGAGAGAAGCCGAGAATTTCAGGAACTTTGACGAATTGCTTGTTTCCCATGAGCTCATCCCTGTGGATAATTCTTTCAGATCATTGCCTGTGCCACCAGTTCCTGAGAATGGAAATATAAAGTCACTGTACTTGTGTATTAAGGAAATCCTAGCTGAGTTGGAGCTGCAGTCTCCCTCCATGTCCGATGGGTTATACTTAGATTGGCCTTTTCTGGAAGAAGAGAAATGCGAGTATCGAGAAGACTGCTTCAATTTGTTGAGGGATATAGATGCTAACGACATTGCCTTTTGCTTGAACTTCAGTGACAATGAGATGCTTGTATCGGACTATTTTTTCTCAAGTGATAGTCCACAAGAACCAAACAGAGCGGAGAGCAAGGAAATGCTGAGTATACCTTCTAATGGCAATCCTATATCTCCCATCCCTTATAACATAGAAGTGTCAACTAAGTTGCTGAATGATGGGAAGTTCCCAACTGAAGGAGTATCATCCCAATGTATTGCTAGAAAAGCATCTTCATTTGGTGACTCCAGGTCAAAGTTTAATGATCTTGATTTTTTCTTAAATCGAAAGGAGTATAGTAGAGGCAAAGATTATAAACCAGCTGACAGTTCAATTGATACTAGTGCCACGGACCAGATCAGTTTCCTCTCTTCTTCTGCTACCACATTATTGCAACCTCAATGGAATATCAAGGTGCATCAAATATTGTTATCTACTGATATTCTACTTCTAATTGATTATCTTAAGAAAATCTTTCTAGCTATCTTTGAAAGACAGAGAGAGTTAGTTGAGATTCAGGATCCATCTCAAGCTGTGGACGATGATGCTATTCTTCGCCTTCCAAAGAAAAAGCTCATCAATTTAATTAAAAAAAGAGGCATGTGCAGGTCATCTTTGTTCCAGGATGGTGAGAAAACCATGTCATTAGTCACATTGTCTGCAATCAAACAGATGGTTTGGTACCTGTGCTACTATGATCTGCATTCAACCTATCTATACATAGAAAAGTTATCCAGGAGCTTGCAGGGATTGGAATCTAAACTTGATTTCATCTACAACATCGTAAAAGATGTGCATCAGAAGGGTGAAAACGATATACATAAGTTCCATCCATCGCTATCCGTTATCAAGGATATTCTGGAGACATTTAAGAGCAAGGATAATTCAAAGATATTAATTGTGGCTGAGCCAGTGTTCTGGTGGTCATTGAAAAAACTCTTGACGTCCATGAATATTGCATTTTTTCAACAACAGAATGGACAGAAGGATGATTTTTACAAATTAGAAGATGCCAGCATGCAAATGATTCACGAATCAGATTGCTGTTTAGTAACCCATGAGTAAGTGGTAGTTCCTACAGAAAGTATGCTGGGATTGGGATATTAGCCTGCTTAATAGTATGGTTGATCAAACTTACAGTTTCCGATTTCTTGTCTGTATCCTTGTATTTAGATGTAGTCTTTGCTATTCTTTCCAATTCATTGTTCAGGACAAAACACTAGCATTTTGACAGCTGGCCTGCTTAGTCTTCAGTGATTCAAATAGCAGAAGATATCTGTTTTTGATCAGGCTGGAAAATAGTTAATTTTTGACCTTTTGAGACTCCAGCTTGATGTTTTGCTAGTCTATTGTAATTGCTGTTCCATTCCTGATAAAGATTCAGGTTTTAGTTGTGTGATCTGTACAAACTTCACTGACGTTAAGGTGCCTCTAGGAGAAAAGTATTCTAAACTTAAAGATAGCTAGTCATTTTTAGCTGCAAAACTACTGATTATAAGAACTAAGATATTAATTTTGTCTGAGGAGAAAGGCAGAGGTAGGCCGAATAAGTATTGGGGGTGAGGTGATTAGGCAGGACATGGCACATCTTTAGCTCAACGAGGACATGGCCCTTGATAGGCGGATGTGGAGGGCGAAGATTAGGGTAGAAGGCTAGTAGGTAGTTGCACGTTTTCCCTTTCCTTCCGGTAGTAGTAGCGTTTTTTAGTATTTCCATATGCTTAAAATTCTATTACTACATGATATTGCTTGTGTTTTGATTGTTCTACTTCCTTGTTGTTGTACTGCTTCCCTGACTTTTACATTATTGTATTTCTTCTCTGTACTGTTGTGATTTGCATGCTTGCTTGGAGCCGAGGGTCTACTGGAAACAACCTCTCTACCTGCACAAGGTAGGGGTAAGGCTGCGTACACACTACCCTCTCCAGACCCCTATTTGTGGGATTTTGTTGTGGTTTGTTGTTGATAGATTGGCTGTGTGAACGGTATTAATCATTCACTCAATAACCTATAGATGTCATATTAATGGTCTTATCCTTCTCTGGCATATGCATTTCTGATTTTTGCCATTAATATGTATTTATGCAGCAAAAGGGTGTCAAAGTAGTTCCAAATTTGATTAGTTAGTGATAGATAGTAATTCCATATTGGAAAAAGAAAAATATCTACAGAAGTCTGGGAAAATTTGAATGAATTTACTTTTCTTGAATTTGAATGGGTCCTTAAGAATCATATTTTTTTCTAGATAAATTGCCCTGGAATGCTGAGGTATTACCACCAAAACAGAATGTTGATGTTACATTCAAATCCTTGAGTTTGAAATGTTGTGATCCTTATTGAATCCATGGCCTTGGTTGATGAATTTTAATTTCTTTTTCCTATTATCTCTTTTCTATCAGATCCTTGCTCTCTACCATGCTTGAATGAAGCTACTTATTTGCTTTAGTTTTAACTTAAAATCTACAGTTTACCATTTAGTAAGTATCATGGCAGACAACGTATGGTTTGGGTACATTGAGGCAGTTCAAATTTTATTTGTTCTTAATATTGTTTACCACAATGCTGTTCACAAGTTCCCTTAATTTAGATTGAGATTTAACGAAATGAACTGATATTCCCACTTTTTTTCTCCAGGCATCTGTTTGCCTCATTTCCATTTGAGAAATTTGAGATTATCTTGGAATATGGAGGTTCACAAGAATCATCTAAAGTATCTTCCATCTTGCCAAAGTCAGATAGAGTTCCTCCCCTTCATTTCCTTAAGGTGGAGCTGGAGGACCCCAGTGTTGCAAAAGCTCTTTGTGATGGCGTTGACATGTCCAACATTAATGAAGCTAGTGTGGCAAGTCTCTTTCCTTCACTCGACTACGATCTATTCACTATCAGTTTGACAAGTAGCACATAGTTCTGTGTTTCCTTTCCGGGAACGCATGACACCACATTGTCCTTGTAAACGGAATGAAAAGTTTAAATATTGTCAAATTTTTAAAATTTTAATTGTTTTGCTGTTTTGTTTGAGTCACAACATATAGTTCAATTTGCATTAAAGTGTTAACTTCTATGGTATTTTTACTCCAAGAGACGTGATGGTTGTTAATTTTCTGAGTTAGAATATGGTCCGTAATTAATCTTATACTTATGAGTTTGTACTTTTGACTACTTAGGTTTGATCCCTTCCTCATTCTTTTGGTACTCTGTCTGCCTTTTCTTGCTTGGCTGAAATTTTCAACATGGCCAAGTTGATTCCCTGTTTGACCTCCCCTTGTGGTGGATTAATCTCACTGTGGCCTGATATATTTCCGTTTTTGCATGGTAGTGAGGTTTTCTCCATCCAAGTCATATTTTGTGGCTGGTAAATTATGAACAGTTGGGGGATGAGCTTATCATTTCTGATAAAAGCACCAGATTTTTTACAAAAAGAGAATCATTTAGTGTTGAATACTTTATGCTGTCGATCAGACTAGAAATATTTAATTCAAATCTTCAAGAACGGATTCCTATAGTTCATTCCGAGGGGCTTCTAAATTTGGATCTTCAGCTGACATACTCTTTTTCTAGGAAGGAGGTCCTCACTTTTGCTCTACTCTCAATGAGATGGACGTTACCTTTGAAGAACTGCTAAATTACCTTCCAGTGGAAAAGAACTTGAAGGGTGGGAGCATGGAGGCATTACTGGGAAATGAAGCTTGCTCTACTGCAGCTGAAGATGCAGTATTCAGTTCAAAATCTAAGCAAAATTGCAGAAGCATAGATGGCTGTCCTGAGACTATCGTTATAGTTAACACACACAATTTTGACACGGAAATGGTAATTTCAAGGAGAAGTACATACCAAAAGATTCTTGCATTTGAGAAGAAAGGAGTTCAGGTCATAGAGCGTGATTTACGTCAGCCTGTCGATATTATAGTTAGTGCATCAGCTTGCCTTGCTTGGTATGACTGCAAAAACATTGCAAAGAAAGCTACTGCCTCCGACGAGGCTTTCTCTTGCTTGCCTCAGTGTGTCGAGAATCTTGCAGCAAATATTTTGACGTCACTCAGTTTTGCTTTCAGTGGCTGCACTCTGGTAATTAGCTTGTTTTTGTTTTTTCTTGTTTTCAAACTGTTCCACCCAGATAGTTTTCTGCTGGATCTAAGGTATGCAATACAAT